GAAAAGGTACATACATACATTGCTGGTAGGACTACAAATTGGTGCAACCACTATGGAAAACGGTATGGAGATTCCTCAGAAAACTGGGAATGGAACCACCGTTTGGCCCAGTTATTCCACTTCTTGGTTTATAACCAAAGGACTTAAAACCAGCATACGACAGTGGCGCAGCCACATCAATGTTTATAGCACCTCAATTCACAATACTATGAAACCAACCTAGGTGCCCTTCAGCAGACGAATGGATAGAGAAAATGTGGCATATATAGACAATCAAATATTAGCCTTAAAGAAGAATGAAGTTATGGCATTTGGTGGTAAATGGATGGAGATGGAGAATGTCACACTAAGTGAAATAAGCCAATCCCTAAGAATCCCTTAGAAGTGAATGCTGTATCTGATATGTGGATGCTGATTCATAGTAACATGGGAGCCAGGGAAGAACAGAGGGACTTTGGATCAGACGGAGGGGAGTGAAGGGAGAGGAGGGTATATGGGGATGGGGAGGATAGTAGAATGAATCACACATTATTACCTATGTGCATATATGATTATATAACCAGTGTAATTCTACATCATGTTCAACCAGAAGAATGAGATGTCATACTCCATTTATGTATGCCATGTCAAAATGCATTCTACTGTCATGTATAACTAGTTAGAACAAATTTAAAAGTGTAAAGATAAAAAAGAAATAGTGAAAAACTGGAAATAACTAAATCTTAACCTTAGTAGTTTCGAGACTGTGTATACATCCTTTACTTGGAGACTGATTAAGCAATTTTAACAAGTACATGCTGAAAGACAGCAGAAGTGAAAATAAAGGGGCTGGCTCATTGGTAAGGGGTGTGGTAAATAGACTGTGATAAATTAATCCTGCAGAATTGTGCAGACCCTCGGTGTTGAAGGGGACTGGTTTCAGGAACCCTCCACGGACACTGGAATCTATGGATATTCTCTGCCTGGGCACAAGTTCAGGTTTTAAATGATTTAGAACAAACTGTGAAGAGCTCTTGACTCCAGGTAGAGGATTATGAAGCAGAAAACAAATACATGACACAACTTAGCACCCATTAAGTTTCTSATATTTGCCTCTTATGTGGACATATTACATGTTCCATGATCTTACATAAAGGTGGGTGTTTTTTAAATAGGATAAGACATTTCTGAAAACTTACACCTAAAAAAAGACTTTGCTAAACACACCTGCAAATTCAATCATTAAATTTCTCATTCATCAAAACAAAGAAATAGACAAATTTAAAATCAGTCACCACAGATGTCTCATGGGATTGTAAAAGTATCTGACCTGAATGAGAGCCCGAGAGTGAACTGAGAAGTCTGGCCTGGGGGTGGGTTCCATCAAATAGTTCTGCCAAGTCGTTCAGCGCTGTCTGGAAGTAGGCAAACTGCCCGAACACCACTGGAAAACAAAGGGCGGAGGGAAAGATGCTTTAGAAGGGAACAGAGGCCCGGATGGACGACGCTGGCTGGTCCCCCAGGCACCACTACCTCAACAGAACTGTAAAACATAAATGGGAATTTACTTTTTCAGTGATAAAACAATTTTACTGTACATCTTGKTTTTTTGGTGCTTAATAAGAGGAGAGAAATTACTGCTCTCTGTGTAATTTTAACATTAAATGAGGATTTTTTTCTTTTAGTAAAGAAAAAAAATTAAAATTGTAGAAGAACATCTATAAAGGCATCCCATTAATTTTTTCGTAATCAGAGACATTTTATTCAATAAAAAATAAACAGATAAAAATGCATGGTAATTTGTTGAGTAATTTAAAATTCATTCCAGAAAGTTACTATATTAACAACTTATGTTAACCCACCATCAAATTCATATTAATTTGTTCATACCCTTGATTCAGCAGCACATGTAGAACTTGTTTATTGTTATTCCTCAGCACAATTTTATTTATCTTATAGGTTAAGTTGTGTGACCACTCCTTCTCCAAGTATATCATAAATACATAGTATACAGTGAAAAATTTAATTTATATTTGTGAATTCAAATTGGTGATAGCCAGCCTTTAACTATTTAGGAAATCCTGGGATTCAGCATCTATTTCCAAGCAATAACAACTCATCCTTTTCCTATTTATGTGAAAGCTGGGCAGTCATTCTAACTCATTGGAGCAAGGGTAGAGAGGCACATTAGCTGTGCGAGCCCAGGTTCTGTGATAGTGAGCACACAAGAGGCTATCTACCTGCAGGAGCATGCATGTCTCTGTCTACACATGCACTTGAGTGCTGTATGTAAAGAGTGTGCACACATGTGTAACATGCCTTGTGAATGGAGAGTTTTAAGTTCCCTGGGAGGTAGCACAGAGGAAGCCTATGGACAGGAGGCAGTTCCCCCAGCGAGGTGCTCCKCAATTGCGGGGTTCAGAGGCTATAGCTGGGAGAACGTCACGATTTCCTACATTTCTAGCACATGCCCCACCATTTCCAAAATTAATTTTGTTTTCATCATGTTGGTGGTGGAATACTTGGGTGTCTTAATCAGAACAAAAGTGATTCATCTACATGTAATTCCTACTTTTTTTCAAGAAATCTTTAGCAAAACATCCACTTCATGGCAGGAACTTAGAGGAAGGAAGAGGACACTGATGTGGTGGCAGGACTGCAGCAAGCAGGGGTGCGGAGTACACACGAGGAGCCACAGTCCCTCTGGTGGACTCCTTCTGAGGGCTTCCGGGGCCCAGCCTAAGAGTCTGGGGCTCAACGCAGGTGCAGTCCAGGAAGTCATCTGCTGCGAGAACAGTGCACAAGGGACCAAGTGCACAGCAGGGGCTCCAGGGACTCAGGCCGCAGGAGGGCTGTGTCCAGCAGTGGGTAAGGCTCACATTTCCCAAGAAGGTACGCAGTGTCCCCCCAAGCTTGGGTGTCAGATTATAGGATAATTTTCAAAAGTAAAATGATGAGATGATGACAGGTGTGACCTGATCATGGATTATTCCACTTGAAGCATTAACTGGGTGGTAACTGTGGGCAGGTAGGGTGTGGCCAGAGAGGTGGGGTGTGGCTGGAGGAGGGTGTCCCTGGGACTTGCCACTGCAAGAAGTCTCTCTGTTTCTCTGTTTCCGTGTGCAGAGCTGCTTTCCCGGCCACGCCCTGCCACCATGATGTTTGCTGCATCTTGTGCCTGGAGCTGGGGCGTTTTTAGGCCATGAACGGCATCTCTGAAGCCATGAGCCAAACAAACTTCTCCTCTACTCTGTTCTCATCAGGAGTTTTGGTCACAGTGATGGGAAAGCTGACTCAAACAGTGCTTCACCAGTGAGAAGGTAGCTCCCCCCTCTTTACTGTATCCTAAGGATGTACTATAAGGAAATCCTTTCACAAGTAGGCCATCAAGAGCGAGACTTTGGAGGTGACAGTCTGAATTGGCTGTCACTTGGTGGATCAGGGAAGAATGTGGCAGCCCATATCTCCAGGGCCTGAAACACCAGACTTCAACACATACATTTCACAGAGCAGGCAAAGGAGTGGGTAAATGTTTATCAAGATGTTAACATGATCCTCTTTGGTTTTACAAAGGATGCCTGGGGCTGCTTGGGGTGAACACAGACACCACTGACATCTCTGAGGACCTATACTACACGCCACTTCCCCTTTGCAGCCTGTGCTGACCACAAGGTGGGCAGCCCTTCCTGCCCAGCCAGCATCACGTCACCTCCTGGTTCACACACCTGCCGAGCACACCCCACACGGAGCACATCAGGACACGGGCAGTACGTCATTCATATTTGTCACTGGCACTTATCAAAATATGGAATTGCTGAACCAGTTAATTAATGTCCCAGGAAACAGTAGGTAAGGGGTAAGAAAAGTCAAAATTAGTAGGGATTTTCCTTAAGTATTTCATGTAACACTTTCACTCCAAACTAAAGCTTTAATTTGATGGAGTGGGATGTTTGTGTTACTGAACTATTCAGGTTGGGACCTTATAATCAATATTCAGGATAGGGCATGTGACTTTTCTTCTGTTCAAAATCACTGTTGCATTGCAATGTGAGGTATGATTCATAATAACTGCAATCATAGACTGACTGCTGTATTCCAATTAGATAAAGACACTTTGTATGCATAAAAGGTAGAAAGAGAAAAGTAACTGGARGAATTGGAGCATTTGGGAGAATGAAGAAGCTTTCCCTTCAGTGCAGGGTCAAGGCTGAGGTGAAGAGGAGACCACAGCCCCACCTGCCCACTAACAGACCTGCCCACTGTGCCCAGGGACGCAAGTGTCCTGCCCCCCCGSAGGGCTGCTGTGCGGCCTCCCTTGCCCAAGCAAGCAGCCAGCAGAGAGAGTGATTCCTCAGAAAAACTGGGAACTGCCTGGCCAGGTCCTGGGGTTGTGGGTCAGACTCCTGGGGACACACAGCTGCAGCACGTTGGTCAAGAGCTCAGGGACACCTGGCTGCACCTGAGAGTCTGCACCTGTGCTGCGACCCCTACCTCCGCATGATGTCACTGTTAGGAGCTGGATATTTATCAAAYGACAGGAAAATGAGCCCTGAGAGAAGCGTGAGAAACAGGACAACGAACTGAAAACCAAGTACTTTCTTACCAAATTCCTTGGGCACGGTTATGGAGTAGAGGCATATCTGGCCAGCTGTGTAGTTATGCGGGTAGTTTGGTGACAGGACCACCCCTTCGGATCCCGTGTACTGGCCTCCGCATGGAGCTGGAAAGAGATCAGTGTGAGTGATAGAGTGACATGCAGGACAGTGTGAGCGACACAGCTGAAGCCCAAAGGTGTCCTGGGAGCAGACGCTGCTGGGGGGAAAGTGCAGCGAGCGCTCGCCCAGGTCCTGCTCTGCAGGGAGACCCAAGGGAGCCAGGCCACACAGACACGCCTCCTTAGAGGGGATCTACTGGCGTCTTGAGACCGTTACAGACAGGTTCAAATACTAAGGAAAACTGCTGTGGTAACAATAAAGCAGGCGGATCCACAGTGATAATTAATCCCTTTAAAAGGCTCCTCAAAACACGGCGGCTGATCCTAGTCATCCTGTCACCATGAGAGACACGAATCATTTCAGTTTCCTTCACATGAAACTCAGAGAATGGCACGTTTTCCTTTGCAGGCTCTGCTTGTTTTAACTTTGCATTTCATACACGCAGCTGAAGGGTAGCACTCGGGAATGCTTCTGGGGTCTCTGTAAGTTCACCTTAGAGCTCAAGGAACACACAGCCAGAAAGCGGGGGCCGAAAGAAAGATGCTGAGCAACAGAGAGCTCAGTGTCTGTGGGTGTGCCTCTGTGTGTACATGATGWGTGTAGGAGTGTGTACATGTATGTATCTCTGTGTATCTGTGTACATGGGTGTGAATGGTTGTGGGCATCTAGGTATCACTGTGTGTCAACATGGATGTGTGAATTATGCATGTGTATATGTGTGTGCATGTGCATATTTGTGTATGTGTGTATGCCAGTGTGTGTGTATGTGTGTACATATGGGTGTCTGTGTGAATGTATACATCTGTGTGTGAGGGGATGTATCTGTGTGTGTGTGTGTGTGTGTGTATGGGTGCATCTGCATGGGGGGTTTATCTCTGTGTGTGTGTGGATATGTGTGTGGATGTGTGTGTGTGTGTGTGTGTGTGTGTGTGTGTGCGTGTGTGTGTGGGTGCATGGACACCCTAGAGCAGACATCCAGCTAAGCACAGTCACTTGGTGCTCAGTTTCCAAGTCTCCAGCTCCTCTGTTCCTCCTGTTTGGTGTGGAGGGCTGGTGTGCCCTGGCCTGTGCAGTGGCAGAGTGGGCCAGCATGGAAGTGCCCGCTGCCAGCCTGCCACCCTGACACCTGCCTCCTGCAGCCCACTCTCTTTTCATCTTACACACCCCTCGGCTGGCTAGGACTCAGACCGTTCAGAAGTCCATATTTCTACAGCTCGCTTCTCCTTGATATGGTAATTTTCAAAAAATAGAAATGAGAGCACATTGAATCCTTTGAATGTTAATCAGCACAGTTAAATCCTATTAATGAACTGAACATGCTCCACCATTAATAAAACTCAGAATATGCAACTGCTAATGCTCAGACACCTCATTCATTATTTTCAAGAGAGTTAATGGTTTCTCCACCAATTTCCCAAATCCTTGTATTTCAGTGTCTTCGAAAGCTTTAAGACTATTCTAGAAGTCAAAGAAAAACAGCCGAGTCATCGGTGTGCACTGGTCTCTTCCCCAGAGGCTGGTAGAGACCTGAGCAAGCTCAGCACACCTCCATGCCAATGCTGGGATTCAGAAAGCCTTCATTATTCTAAATTGATGTCTTATGGTTTTAAATAGAAAAAGATCATTTTCACTTTGGGGTGGAAGATACCTCCAAAGCTGAAGGCACCCAGGGAAGTGTTGGGAGCCCCCTCCTCCCTGTAGATGTGCCACTCAGTGTCATCTCCATCTCATCACATGAATCCAAACTGGCTATTTCAGGAAAATCTCTTCTTTTTTCTCAAAGGCTTATAGACCAAAGTWGTGAAAATAAATACAAACAAAAAATGGAGACTTATCTCCTTTTAGCCCAGGCATGTAACACTCATGCAGATCATTTTGTAACCACCACTCTTCAAGAGTAATAAATAACCTATTTCAAATTTTAGAGAAAATGTGTAAATGAAAATGGAAAAAAATCACTTTGCCAAAATTTTGATGCCCAAATTTTTAGATATTAGAAGTTTATTCTTCTGAAGAACACTTTCTGATGTAGTTCTTAAGGTACAGCTACAAACACTTTGTCCCAGGATTGAGTAAAAGAGCACTGCTGTTCTAAAAAGTCAAATAAGAAATGAAGAAAAACGGTGTTTGTTTTTACCACTAAATATACTTGTGCCTGACATCCTCCCTGAGACGTAAATCACCACAACTAAAGAATGCATCCCACAGGCCACAAAGTTTCTGGAATTGAGAAAGCATGCAGAAAATGCTTGTCGATTCTTAATAACCATTCTGTCTCTTTTCCTATGCTAAGGGAGGAAGCAGACCTGCTCCTTCTCTTACTCTATATTAATGTGAGCACAGAATAAAAATAAATGAGTGTGTCTCGTTTGATAACTAAACTGCTAAACTGCTTTGTAGGTGAATAAAGATTGCCACAGCATTCGTGGCAGGTGGTCAAATGAAACATAACCACCCATTTGGTTAACTGTATATCTTCCATGTGAAGTGACCATTTCGTCCAGCTGAGTACACCAGGGACCACTCTGGCAGACGAGAGCCATCCTGACCAAGAAAGGAGCTCTGTGCTGTTTCAAGTTCAGTTCCACTTCCATAGCAAACCTCAATGGACAAAACCACGGGCCATCAATAATATCATCATGAAAAAATTGTTCCAGGCATCTGATGCAAGCTGGTGCAGAATTCACTGGCTGTGCCTTATAATACAGAAACTGCTAAAGGTTTGAACTGTGGCAGAAGCCCCCAAGCATAATTGCTGGCCTGAGTGACCCACTAGYACTGACTGATGGGCAAAATGCCCCACTCTCCATGAGCCATCCCACACACGGTGCGGCGTAATCTCTGCTTTCAAGATTTGGAATATGGAGTTTTATTTAGATGCAAGTGGAAGACCATGAGCAGAAGTCTGAGTTCTGTGTTTCATGAGCATCGATGTCTAAAAACCAGGCCAGACCTCACGGGACTTCAGACTTGGAAAAAAGAGGAGACCTCTACCTCAACATCTGATCACAGACGGAGGCTCCAGGGGGACTTCCCTGTTCTTCCGGGTCCCATTTTATCCTCTGCTAACCTGCCACCCTTGCCTGGAAATTAAAATTTCATTTGAATTTAGCACAAAGTAAATTCCCTTAATATTATCAGTGTGCAAAATTCACAAAATCCAGGATCTTTCCTTCATTTCGCTTCTACTGCTATCTCCCCAACACTCGTCCCCACAGGCAAAATCCTGGGGAGTCCCAGTGGGTGCCACGCTCAGCAGGGAGCACACGGAGCCTCCTTGGGAGCCAGGAAGGGTGGGGAGCAGAGGGTGCACTGCAGGCCCCTCACAGCAGGGGCCACGGGATGCCCCCTCGCTCAGGACCTTTGCCTTCACCCACCTCCTGACCCCTGGAGGGCGTCCCTGTGGTCCACAGGTAAGAACGGGGAGGGTCATCTTGTTGAGGTCTTCTTTGACCTTAGCATCATGCACTCAGTTCTTACTCCACGCAGCCTCTGGTGCTGGTGGACACGGGGCCTTCGTGGAGGCTCTCRGAAAGACAATGGATGAACCAGACAGCAGAACAGAACAGGACGGGCTGTGTTTGCTGGTTTGGGTTTTTTACAAACAYAATTCTTAAATGCCTATCTGGTGAGAGGATGCTAGTGGAATTGCAAGGCTGACTAGAGGAAATAGGTCTCCTGCACAGGTTTAGATTATGTCCTAAAGTAATGGGGAGACCACGTGCTTCGGCCTCTAGGCTTTTATTTATTTACTTAACAGAAGCAACCCAGGGCCTCATGCGTGCTAGGCAAGTGCCCCACACTGCGCCGGACCCCTGCCCCTATTTCCTTAATCAACACCTGCAGACTGTGTCCACAGCATGAGCAGGTCTTGCCCAGAGGCCTCTGATGAAGCTACCTGGAGGAGATGCAGAGCAGCCAGCCCCTGGAGGCCACCCYCAGGGCTGTCTGACCTCTGCCACTAGAGTTTAGCTTTGATTCATCTTAAAGGTTGATCTCATTTGTACAAGATGATTTTGTTCATTTTATCTCTAAATAAGTAATTACAAAGTAAATGCTTTGGGGGAAATGACATATCTGTTCCAAAGATGTATGTCTTTTAAAAATCTCTTTCTCTGCCCCTCGCCCGCCCTCCATTTCCCTGTCCCTCTCTAGATMGTCTCCATCTGTCTAATCAGCTAACCCAGAAACACCTAAAAAAACATAGAAACACTTAGAAAATGCTAATTTGTACTTCTTGTGTGGAGCAGGTCTAAAATACACAAAARCAAGTTWAAAGTATCAAAATACCTGAGTAAAAGAGAAAAGAATCCCCTCCTGGCAATCCCTGGGGACGGCTGATGTGTGGGCTAGATGGAGCCGTCAAGGACTGTCAGGAGCCGGCTGCTGGCCCTCAGCTGAGCGTCCTCTGTGGCGGAGGACGGACAGCACTGCAGCGTGAAGCCGTTTAGGTGAGGCTCYGCGAGGCAGAGCGCGGCCTTCTGCAGGAGAGCCCGTCCAGACCTACCATTGCAGGAGGGCAGCACGCGGTCCCAGGAGGGCTTTCCGTCGGCCCCGATCACACACGTGATGGACGAGGGGTCCACAATCTTGTACCCAGAGTCGCACTGGTAGGTGACAGTGGAGCCCAGTTTGAAGTCCGTTCCTATTCTCGTTCCATTCATTATGTTCCCAGGGTCAAAACAAGCTTCCCGGGGCTTCTCTGCAGAGGAAGCAAAAGCACATTCCATGAGAGAGCTGTCTCYCTTCTTCTGTGTCTTTTGGTTCGTCATTTGCTTATTTTGTTTAGGGGTCACACAATGCCCTGCCTAAGAATTTTTTTCAGAAATATTTATTGGTTGCCTAATGACTAACTTGACCTACTCATAGTTAAAAGTAGGAAAATTCCTTTTTAGCAAACTATATTCTTTTTTTAATTTAGTTGTTGTTGGACACTATACTTTTATTAGACTTATTTATTTTTATGTGGTGCTGAGAATCAAACCCAGGGTCTCGCAGCACGAGGCGAGAGCTCTACTGCTGAGCCACAACCCCAGCCCYAAAACTATATTCTTTTTTAAAATCACATTTTACTACAGAATTGATATTAAATTACTTTCATCTAGGTAAAAAGATACAGTTTTATATTTTTTATACATTCACCTTTTTTGCCTGTGGATTTTTGTACTGAACCACATAAACTGATTCAGAAAAAGTTGAGGTTCGTTTTCTGACCTTCGTACACAGGTCGCACCAACATGTAATCACCCCACACGTGTAGGAAGAGATGGGAAAACTGGGTTTCCCAAAAGGAAAATGGCATCATCCACGGAGTCAAGAGCACTTTCTGCTCATGATGATGGAGATGTTGAACCCAAGCCCAGAAGGATGTCTGGATTCCTCTGTTGCTCTCTGCACTGTTAGTCCTAACAGGAAACTGTCCATTGCAGCAAGAAAAATACATTTCCTGACTGGTGACGGTCAAACGTGGAGTCTGGCCTGCAATCACCACCCACGGCTTCATCTTAACTGTGGAAACTGCTGAGCCTTCTYGAGGTCCGTTATCACCTGTTGACTGGGTGGTTAAACGCCCCATGGTCGTCTTCAGCACACCTCGGCGAGGTGAGGGCTGGCTGCTGGGATCTGAAGTTCGCAAATCCAGGTTGACTCCCACCAAGCACCCTGCAGAGACCTGTCCAACTTGGAGCCTCTGAGTGAGACATTGAGCAGTGGCACCACCAGGGAAGGACAAGGGGACAGGGCAGTGGAGACAGGGAATGAGGAAAGGGCACCCGGGGCATGCGTGCCATCAACCCCAGAGACAGGCTAAGGCAGAAACGCCATGGAGAGACCCGCTTACACGGACGCTCAATAGGCACCGACAATTGCAGCTGATCATGGGCATTGCCAAATGTCCACCCCAAACATCTCAGACCTTAGCCCTGCAGGCCACTTCAGTTATCTTCTAGTTGTCACAAGATTTTAAACTATATTTCAACAGACCATCCAAGATGTCACTAAATCAACATATATGTGTCCATGTGATTTTAGCATTTGAACAGCTTTTGTTGGTGTRCAAAGGCACGTTCTTCATGCCCTTGTCAAGTTCCCAGTGAGGCTAGTAGCCCAGGGAGTGCAGCCTGACTGGCCTTTCAGTGCCAAGATAGAAGTCACACTTCGCTTTCTAWCTTCAAGTCATGAAAATCTCTGGGGCAGAGAGAGGATGTGTGTGGGAATAATGAGATTATTATCAGGTTAGGCTCGAGGGTAACTTCAAAGTAGACAGAATGAGTGTTTTAGCTCTTTTCCTCTTGGTTTGTCAATCTTATTCTCTGTAAAAATCCATGAACAGCAATCCCTTTATTCATTATAGAAAATCAACAAATGTAATCATCTCTGGGAAATGTAAAGGAAGAGTGAAAGTCTTTTTTTTTTTTTTTTTTTTACCAGGATCAATATTGATTTGCTTCTGTTATTTCCTCTTATTGATGGTCTATCACTCTCCACGGTTCCCGGCAATTCCACACGTGAATCTTGGACCAAGTCTACACTACAACCTGTCGCAGGTGTGCACAGAGTAGTACTAATGTAGCTTGGGAGGCTGCCCAGCACACCTCCTAGGAGTGGACATTGTGCAGTGGAGGAGAACAGAAAACAACATTCCCACACSTTGGAAAGCCCTGCAGGAAGCCAAAGAGGGCTGCCTGGCTGGGTTCATTCAGTATCCGTGGTTGTATTTTAACATCGGCCAAATAGAGATTTCACTGCAATGGTTCACTCAATCTCTTATTTTCATCTTTTAAACATGCTAAATATTCCATCTATTGCAGTGATTTCTGACATGTAACAACGTGTAGCTTATTTGCATATTTGGGTCCATGATGCAGACACAGTGGTGAAGCTTCTCCATGGGYTTCACTGTAAGGGTTCTGGCTGTGGAAATGTACAGCGTTCCTCTGTGAGCAAACTCCCGGGGTGCGTTGCGGGGCAGGCACTCTGTTTTCCGCACTTGGAATGTTCTGCAGTTTTCTCCAGGAACTAGTAAGATAACTAATACATGTGTAATACCTAGGTGCTGTGGCAGTGCCCTGCTTGAGGAGGCTCTGTGCTAGAGTCTTATCAGCCTCCACCTTGATCTCAGGCACTCAGCTCCTGGGAATAAAGGAACTCTCTGGATAGACAACCACAATGTGTCACCAAGCACTGCTGAGCCTGAACTTGTCCATGTAACAGTAACTTCTTGAGAGCTACACAAGGCTCCCAACATTTCACATTGCAACTGTAATATGTAACTGAGGAATAAGCTGCCAAATGTTGCTAGCTCTGTAACCTGCCTGAACAATAATGCACTACTGATGTCAGTGACTTAAGGTGACCTGTTGATATAAATAAGGCTGGCAGCTTGAACCAGGGGCTTGSTGCCTTTCTGCTATTCTGCCACTTTACCTCTGTACTTGGCTCCTGTCTCCATTTGACTTTTTTACACCTGTTTTGTTGTTAGTCTCCTGCCAAGCACAGAGTGGTACGTGGGGGCGAGCGYTCTCTGAACGCTTCCTTGAAAACCTATTTGTACATTTCAATGGTGGCTGACATGTTCATGATTCTTATTAGCAGCCTTAAATGCCATGAAAAACATAGAACCTTTAAGAAATTAAGGGAGGAAARAATACAACTCTACGCAGGTAAAAGCCATTCCCTATTCCTGTTGTTTGATCCGTTACCCAACAAAAGGTGCTGAGCATCTAGTGATTACAAGTATTAATCTTGGTTACATTTTTTTCTCCTTGAAAAGAGTGAAAGTGTTCAGTGCCTGTCCATCAGTATGTATCCACAGCCTTTTCATCCATTTGATCATATTTTGCTRTAAATCTCCTGTAGCTTGGCTGGCTGTTTGGTGAAGCTTCACTTACACAGCTTGCCACTTTGTGCCTGTGATTTCCAGATCTGATAGTGGCTTTCTTTCAAATAGTGGCATCTCATCTTTTGGTTCCTTTTACGTAGCTGTCAGTTCAGGACCCCGGTGATAAATCACTGGCCCTCTCTGCTTACCACATGCCACGTTTCCTAATTGGATGACCTCATAACATGAGTGTCCTGCTGCTGTCCTTGTCTGCTCTGCTTAGGAACACTTGTGCATCTTCCTGCTCTGGGGGCCAAGTGGATGGAGCATGCCGGGTCCCTCTAGTGACCCTGWGAGCCGCTGCCCTGTGCCCTGGGTCCCGCCTGCCTTCGGATGGCAGTAACGCTCTTGGCTGGTGAGGTAGCACTGGCATTGCTTTCCCAGGATTTGTTTTTCTTGGACTCTATAGAAGAACCTTTTAAACACTAAGAGCTACAGCCCTCTCTCAGGTGGCTGAGCTGCTTACCCAAGAACCCCTCAGAAGGTTGCATGTATGTTCTCATGGGCCATTTCCCCTTCAGCCCTCGACCAACTTCCCTAGGAATGCCTGGGAGAAGAGCAGGCGTCTGAGCAGGGAGCAGCATGCATTCTGGCACTGGATGCAGGTTTGTCTTGCTCCTTGGTTTTGCTTTGTTTTGGGCTACAGTAGAACAGACACACCTGGTGAGGTACGTTTCAGAGAATTCCTGTTAACACGAGAACTTTCTGACGGTGTGGGAAATGAGTGGTGTCACAGTAGTTCCTAAAAATGACAGTTTCTATTTGAAAGGCACAAGCCCTCCTCTGATTGCTAAATCCTGTAATTTTTTATTGTACATTTTAATGAAGACTTATAAGATTTTTATGTTTTTGGGAAAATAGATTAATTTTATATTTAAAATCATGAAAAAAATAAACCCATTAAAGAAGTAACAGAATTGAAATATATCCTGTTTTCCTTTATAATTCYACCTATGAATGGAATTCAAGAAGTTTTAATAAATATKTCTATTAAATTTTTGATAAAGCAGTATGATAAACTAATATTTGAGCAAATTGTCTTCTCTAATTCTTTGCATCATACCTCACATTTTCTTTGTTTACATGAGAAATAGACTGGAAAAAATAAAGTTTTTTTCATGGGTTCAAAGGTAAAATGCTCAGTGCAGGTGGATGTCAATGGCAGGGCATGGTGGACCAAAAGTGGGTCACTGACCCCCCAGCCAGAGCACACTGCCCTGCCCAGGGCCAGGGCTCCTCACAAAACCAGAAGCCCCGGGCAAGACCAGGCAGGCAGCGGCTGGTCACAGTGAAAGGAGCTGAGATGAAACTGTGATAACATGATGTAGTAAGATTGAGTCATCCCTAAGAAACCCATCAGAAGATATCTGCTGATAACATCATCAAATTACTGAAGATGTAAACCATCATTTATTTTTAAACAGCTGTGAACTTGGAAAATACTTTCCCATCTTGGTTTCTCTCAGCCCAGGCAGAAACGTGTCTCTGGAATTTTGTCCCACTAGAGAGGGGACAGAGGAGGGACACGTTGACAGCACAGGCTGGACAGATATGAAGACCTCGTGAGGAAAGTGCACAACCAAACCAAGTCGGACACAGGCCAGCACCCCGCCAGTTCAGCCCACCTCGTACCTTTGAACTCAATGGCAAACCCGGACAGGCCCACAGAAGCATCGCTCCGAAATGCCAGGAAAAGGCTGTTCCCACTGCTCTCGATCCTGTCCGGGGCTTGAGAGCCCTGGAAGCTTCCGATGAGAGGACTGTTGGAGTCCTCACCCTCGTAGACRTGCAGGAAGTCGTAGCTGGGCTCCATGTTGAAACTGAAACGACAGAACCTGGTTACACTTGGTCCCCAGACGAGGACACCTTGTCTTCCAGGAGAGGACCAGGCGTCTTTGTTTGATTTTGTATAATAATTTTAGTAATTAGGGAAACCAAAAAGCAACATGTAATAATGAGCCAAAATGTTAAAATGGCATTTCCAATGGTGTTGAATACTCTTGGTATTTTGTACAATTTTGAAGATGGCTAAGAGAAACACAACATAGTAACCTTGGTGTGACACCCTTGCCCGTGTCCTGAATTGGCTCAGGAGATGTGATTTGAAAGAAGTAGGCTCAGAGGAGTGAATTCCTACTAATATTTGGTTTTTATGTGAATATATCTTTGGCATTACTATATACTTTTACAGTTTTGAAACTGCTTTTTGTTTAATTTTAAAAAATGTAATTGTCTCTCTTTCCTTAGACAAATGGGCCAATCTTGACAGTCCCACCAGGGCAGAGTGTGAACATTCAGGTATCAAGGGTCAAGCCCGACTAGTCCAGCTCTGGCTCTCCCTCCCTTCCTGCCTCCCAGACCCTGTTCTCGGTTTGGACTCTCCCCTTCTCCAAAGCCGACATACAGCCTGTCCCCACAGACTGGCGTAGGGAGCAGGCTTTCACTGAAGTGTCCAGGGCAGGCTGCGGTGGGGTGAGCCTGGCACAGGCTGGGAGTCTGAGGCTGGCCAGGTGTTACGAGCTGGTTGGACTCAATCAGCCAACCAGGAGGAGCCACTGGGGGCGGGTCATCACGCTGGCCAGCCTGCCCTTCTCCTCTCCTCTCACATCCAGGACTTAATTCAACCACTATCCTGTCACAGGAATTTCTGGTATCTGAGACAGAGACGCCAGGGTTTCTCTGTGGTCATGTCACAGGGCTCTCTTTTGTCTGTAGAGTCCAGGAAAGAGCCAGGACAGGAAGTCCCTCCCACATCATGGGCTTCTTCCTGAAGCACAGAGGTCTGGGAACAGCAGGGCTCTGCCCTGCCCTGCATCTCACCGCCCCTGCAGGTCTGGGCTGCACTTCACTCCTGCCAGTGGGAGGCCCTGAACACAGTGTCGGCAGCAAGCTGTACCTGCTTTCTTTGTCTGTTTATTTGCAAGTTCAGTGAAGTCAGAAATGAAGGAGTAAACCATCAGAGTTGCTAAATTTAGGAGGCTAATGGGAATTGTATAGACCAAGGAGAATTTTATTGGGATAATAATTTTTTCAGAGTATTTTGCAAGGATGTTATTAGAATCTGGCCATGTTCCATCCCCAATGTTTGGCAAAGCAAATTATTATTATAGATTATTTGTTGTGCACTGAAAATACAATCAGACACACAACTCAGGAAGCAAATTTCATCTGGTATCTCATTTTAGACATGGTGTAGTTCATGCATAGAAGTCTAGCATTGAAAATTCAATTAATTATAGTTTCCTTGAAGATCTTATTTCTGTCTGTGACAGCTGAACATACCTATAAGGCCTGTGAGTACTTTCAAGGCTGAGCAAGCCTGGGGCAGCCTCCTTTTGGGCCCTTAAGCACCTCTGATCCTACCCAGGACTCTGGCTTTCACCTCCCTACCCCACAGGTACAGCCATTAGGGTCCACCCCAGCCCACACAAACRTGCAGATGGGAGAAGTTGCAGGATCAGGTAACGATCTCTAGGTTATAAGAGTTGGAAGAGATGTCAGGGCCTTCTGCAGAAGACTTGCTACAGAGACCTCTGCAACACTGAAAAGCTTGGCCAATGCAACTGCCTCATGAGTCCTCCCATGAGGTGCACTTTGGGAACTTGGACACTCGGTCAGCAATGGAAGATGGCAGATTCCTGAAAGAGGCTCCCTCTCTCCCAGCTGGCCTTGGATTCTACTCTACTCTTAATCTCCTGGCACTGGACCTGGTTTCAATGAGGGCATTACTAGAATTCAGCCTTTTAAAAAACATACACCCAACGACATAGCCAGCAAACGGTCATTGGTTTTGTGTGTTTAGTTGAGTGTCATAAAAGTATTCTTCATTTGGAAAATTTGTAGTAGTTTTAGAAAATTCCAGAAATGATGGCTTATCAACTGCTTGAGATTCCGAATCACGGATCCTTCACATTACACTGACTCGGACCTCATCAGGAGAAAGTGGAGGAGGATAATCACAGCGAGGCGTGAATGTTGATGCACAGAGCCTAAAAAGAAAGCTTGCTCCCAGGCAGATGGAGACATAGGATTAGACCACTGTGCCCTGGACCTCTGAGCGGCCAGTGGGACAGTACACTGCAGCGGTTACCTTGAAAAGCATCACATTCATCCARTTCAAAGACCAAAGTGGAACACTAGAGGAGATCTTGGGAGTCAATAAAATTGAACTGTGGTGTACTGTGTAATAAGATAGCATATTGTAGAACCTATAAAATACTAATAGTGCTTGAACTTTTATCATCTAGTACAGCAGGAAGGACCTATCACATTTTTCAGACCAATACCTAACAATTCAAAACCCCCAGCAACCAATTTTTTTCAAAGCTCATCTACTCCTAACCCTCTGCATGATATCAATATGCTGCCTTTGGGATCATCAGCCATGGAAAGTGTACACTAGAGAAGCAGGAGGCTCTGGCTAGAATTATCCCAGAGCCCCTGCTGTATTCGATTCTTTCTGAATGTCCTGTGAGTGCAGACCTCAGGGTGGAATGGTCATGCAGCCGATGAGCTGCAGTTAGAGGCGTGCCTGGCCCACGGAGTGCCACCTAGCAGAGCCAGCCTTTGCAGCCCATCACCCTACACGTGCGAACAAAACCAAGGCAGCCCAGGTGCAGAGGTGGACACTCTGAAGGGTCAGGGAGGTCACTCAGGCGTGGCGTTTGAAAGCCCACTGAGCAGAGGCGCTCTGCTGAGCCATACCTTTTGAATATCAAGGCRATGACGAAGTCCGGGTTCACCTTCACTCGCCAGTCACACTCCTTCCCGGGAGGGTACGGCTGAGGGTAGTTAGGGGACAGGATGACTCCTGCAGGGCCCGTCAGGTTGCCGCCACACGCCGCTGGCAGAACAGAAGTCACAGAGGGCGAGTTAGGTCCGAAGAGAGCTGGCAGAGTGCAGGGGACCGCTGAGGCCCTCTGACAAAGCCTCACAGGCTCTCTCCCAGCAGACGCTGTGCGTTCCCACCCATCCCGACACTTCAGAGCCAGAGGTATGTTTTTCATGTTAATAAATTCTACGTAAATAAATTCCCCATCTCATTTTTAGGGAGAATTTTAGAACTTTGGCAATTACAAGTTTCTTCCTATAATTTTGGATTGGACCAACTACTTGATCTCCATGTCACCAACATTTACGTGCACAACCCTTAGGGACACACACCCACAATGGCACCTAGGACACACAATGAACAGGAGCCAGAACACTTGACTCCTAAAAATATTTTATCATAGTGCTTAGAATATCCTACTAAAAGGAACACTTGGTGGATAATGACAGATTGAGCTCCTTTTTCAGTCTTCAGTTGTGAGGTGGACGTGTTCACCTTCATGTTAGTAAAGCACTCATGACATAAACTCAGTGTGGTTAGGAGGAGGGCCACTTTATGTTGTTGAATCTGAAATGTTTAGGACCATTTCACGCACTAGAAGACACTTCTGTTAAACCTGCTGTTACAGGACAATGTTAAAACACCTCAGTTTGTTTGCTAGCACACAGTGTGGACACCTCTGTGAGCATGTGGGTTAGGGGTTTTCCTGTCAAACACAGTGACTTCTCACCAAGTTGTTCTAGGACACCACTCCAGCTAGACCAGAGCATTCCGGAACCACAGGGGGCTTTTTAATACCCCTGGTCATACATAAGTTTAGGAAAAAAATTAACTAGAAAAGAATATGCCCTCTGATGATTGTTTTCAGAAAAAAAGAAAGAAAAAAGGAAAGAAAAGAAGACTTTTTGGTCTTCAATTACTTAACATTCCTGAAGACAGTTTTTCAAGAGAAGAAACCCAACTAAACCCAGTATGTTTTGTTGCAAACTCAATCTAATCAAAATAAACAGGTTCAAAGGGTGCAGGCTGCCAGGAGAGGCCACGCCTCTGCCCCAGACRAGTGAAAATGCACAAGAGTCTCATGCTGAAAGCAAAACCTTCAACTTCAGAAGAGCCATGCAGGACTCTGTCATCTAAAAGCACTTTAAGTAGGTCACTAGGTACATAAGGAAATTGTGAAATCGATTCACCATGTCTGTTAGCTCTCTGCTACATGCTATCTAGGTRTGTGTCTGCAGGTCCAGCTGCCGACATCTCAGGAGAGCGGTCAATTGCCTGCATYCTTGCAATGGATGGTCAAGACAGGAAGTATGGTGTGAGCTTTTGGCTGAGGGATACAGTATTTAGTTGCTGCTCAAAATTAGGTAATGAAGACATGAATCAAGGAAAAAAACTATAGTTGGGAAGATAATCAAACTTCACGATTTCATGTTTGAGTCAATGTGAAATGATACATTTCCTTTAAGAGATTAACTCATAGAGGTATTGCTTTTTAATATTTTCTTCCTTGAGCTTAAAAACCTGTAAACGGAAGGAAAAATTCCTTTCCTAATTTAAAAATAGGTCAAAGACTTTTAAACGATGGTTTCATTGATAGGTAATTACTCCACTTGAAAAAAACCAAAGGATCTTGCAAGGCTCCGAGCCTAGGCCTGAGCTGGAACAGGACTGGGCTCACAGGAGTCAGGGGATGTCCCTGGGCACAAGCCAGGGGCTGAGGGTCTAAGCAGAGGCTCTCATGTCTCCTGGGCCCACAGAGCACCATGGCCAGCACTGTGCCCAGCTCCACGGGGACAGAGCGTCTGGGCTGCTGTGCACTGGACATCCAAAGCTCCCTCGAGAGCACTCACGCAGAGTGGCCTTCAGTGGTGAGCACACCGCTTCACCATCACCGCTGCCCTCACGGGTCAGTTCCATTTCACATTTTCAAGCAGATTATAATGAAGCACAACTAAACAGTGACAGTTCATTAAGATAAGAAAGTCTACTCAAGTTTCTTTTTAGAAATTAAGATAAAATGCTCTAAATAGTATTTCATGTTAAAATATTTCATCGAATGAATAGACAGTCTATGTGTAATTGTATTTTATATAAGAACATATATTTCCCTAAAATGGCATTTGTGATAGAGATCTAGGAAAGCTACAGTCTACAGAACCATTTGTTATTCTTTTAGTAAGGTGAAACAATGCAATTTTAATGGATATTAAAAATAAGTTTCTTTTTCATTCTCACAAAAGCAGTATAATTTCTAGTTTTCAGTATTCTATTGAAAATGTACTGGCATTCTAGAAAAAAACATCTAAAAAGAGAAAGCCCTTCTTAGTGAGTAGGTTTTGCTTAAGGGCATGTATCTCCATTAGGAAAGGAAACAGTGAGGGCAGGTTACAAATTTTGAATCAACTGAAATTTTAAATTACAGTGGTTTGATTGACATACATTTAAACAAGAATTATTATGAACATGAAATGTTAGATAAAGTCAATTACTATACATTGAGTAAATCAATGTATAATATGCCCAAGGACATTTAAGAAACTCTTGAAAAGTCTTTCTGAAGACATACTCCATGGTCTGAGCAATGCTGCTGTCAGCATGCATGTATTTCCAAACATGAATTTCTTATTTTCTGTGGCCCGATACCTATGCATGTAGGAGGGTCTGGTTGCCAGAAGAAGCGGTTGTTGAGCTGCACACAGGTGATTTTATCTTGTCCTTGAAGCTGATACCCAGGGTCACACTGGTATGTGATGGTGTCTCCAGGCTCCCGGCTGTCCCCATAGCGGGTTCCATTCTGYGGCATCCCTGGGTCATTGCAGGTGGATGCCACGGATGCTGCAAAGAACAGACAAGACCAGGTGAAGTGCTGAGGCTCGGCAGGTGCCCTGTAGACACGGCCTCGTGAGTGGAGCATGCTCTGTGCACAGTCAGCCTGGTGATGGTGTCACCTTGAACGAATCCTAGCAAAATCATACTGAAAGTGCGGCCATTAGGGAATGCGTCGAGGTGTCRCATTATACCGAGAACACACACGTATATTCCTGCCTGATTTGCTCTTTCAAAATATTTTAATAAAAACCATGGTAGTTTAAATGATTCAAATAAAGATCACTAATCCCAAGGAACCTCAAGTAAAATAAAATAGGGAGAATTTTCTTAGAGTCTAAGCCTTCAAGGTGACCGATGACCCTCAACTTGATGGGAATCCTCTGCTGACTGTGGGATGGCAGGGGTCAGAGGGCATGAGTAGTCAGTATTACCCAGAATGCCKTGGGTCCCACAGATACTATTGGGATTGTTATTGATAACCCCTTTCACTCTGAAGAGTTCCAACTTGGCCACCCCAATCCTAACGAAAGATTTGAAAGTGATATCCATCCCTTTGGTGTCCAAAAAAAAAAAAAAAAGCATTAGAATTTCAAGTCCTTTGTGCAGAAGCCAGTGTCACAAAATAGGCTGGCAGAGAGTCTGTGAGACCTCTGGAGCCTGGTGACCCGAGACTCTGATGTCGCTGCGACCCTTTCACTACCCCCAATCCCTGCTTCTGAAACCCTCCACACAGGCAGTTCAAACCCAGCCCGAGTTCAGCAGTGAGGACGMAGCCAGCCCAGCTCAGACCCCAGCACAAACCCAAGGCCAGCGCAGGGCCCTCTCCACTCCAGTCTCTAGATGCCACGTGTTCATGCCGTGCTGGATTAGGAGGGCACGCCTGAAGATCCAGCYGTGCACACCTTTCCAAGTTTGCCTGTTCTACCAGAACAGGTCTCGCTGGCCCTGCAGTGCTCACGAGACTACGAGGGACAGTCTTCTTTCTCTTCCAGGCACACCAACCCCACGTGTGTACCCACCCATCTCTCYACACACCTGGTGGTTTAAAGCAATGAGTAGGCTTTGCTCTCAGTTTTGTAAATCCTGGAAATTTTACCTACATATGCACACACACATACACATACACAATGCATATGTACATATTTATAGTATATACTTACATTTATATTCACATACACATACAGATATAAATAAAATCCACTTGGATATAGAGATAAAGAAGACCTGCTCTTTACTCTTGAGAAATGTTTAGCCAAATGTGAGACAGAAAAGTGGGGACCATGCAGATAAAGGATCAAAGACCCAACAGCAAGCGTCACGCTAAGGGCTTCAAGGATCTCTGGTTGGTCAGAGCTGCTTCAATTCCCAGCACCGCTCATTAGGTCTTAATTAGCACTTAATGATCACTTAGGCTCACTGATCTTTGGCTAAGCACTCAGTAAAGGAGAGACTAATATCTAGGTAATTAGCTCAGCCAAGGAGAGGAAGTGCAGAGCGTGCTAGCTGGGCCCCTCCTCCTCTCCAGCTAATTGAGGGCAGAGGCTGTCTTAACGACTCCATCTTTTCCTCTAATTGGTTGGTACTGTACTTTCACATGTCTGCACACGTGTGTCTACAACACAGCAAGAAGGAAAGAGAACGCGGGTGGSCCACTGCAGAGCTGGAACACCGTCCTCACACCAGTGTGACCCACGTACCCCTTCCCAGCTCCCCCTCCCCCTCCAGGCAGCCACCACCCTGAGCCCCAGGTGGCCATCTGCTGGCTTTTCCAGGGAGCTGCCCTCAATGTGTGCAGCTTTGTGGGTGTGCCTCTGCGTCTGCCCTGGGGAGCCGTCCAAGTTCCGCTGGGGCGTCCTCTCCTTCTTGCTGGGGTGTTTCTGGGAGCCCCCGCAGAGGTGCCGTGCTCTGGTTCATCTGTGGTCATTGCTGGGCAGTGCCCACTGTGTGAGTGCACCTCAGGTCCCCCCTCTTGGTTGCCTTGGGCCGATTTCTTTGGCCTTCCATGGACTGCTGCTGTGGGGARCCCAGTCTCTGCAGGCTCCCACCGCATTGCACAGAGCTAAAGGAGTTCTCCAGCACTTTCAGGATTATCCCACTGGAGTCAAGGTCCCATCCACTGTAAGGCTGGCAGTGAGTCAGGGCGATTCTCTCTGAGCTACAGGGCACGTGGGCTGACCCCTCATTCYTCTTATCACCTCAATGTCGCATCAGCAATCGTGTTCTGAGAAGAGGAACTTCACATGGAAACAATTTCTGTGGAGATCAAGAGAAGGACAGTGCTGGAGTTTCTGAGTAGGTTCTGTGACAGGAGGAGTGCAGGTAAGGCTGGGTCAAGGTGAACTGGAGGAGCCTGCTGTCATTCCACTCTTCTCCCAGCATGGCGGAGGCTGAAAGATGACGGAAACCCACACAACAGTCCAGGAAGAGACCGGGACAGCAGGGGGACGCAGGGCAGACGTGGAGACAGTGGTAACAGAGCATGTGAGTGAAGAGCTAAGTGCTCCCTAGCTCATGGTGTACAACAAATGGAAACACTGAGCCCTCGTCTTAGCGCTCATGGTGTACAACAAACGGAAACACTGAGCCCTCGTCTTAGCTGAAGCTTATGCCAGTTACGCAGAAAGGCAGGTTGTGAAGATGGCTGAGGATGCACTTAGAGAAGGTGCTTGCACATGCTTATATACCTTCAAGGATTGCTGGAGATCACCAGCAAATCCACCATTCAGGTTTACTCAAATGGAAATGAAATCCAAAGTCTTCACACTGTCCTCTTAGAACTACAAATAAAAGTAAAAAATGTCCTAGGGTCATCCAGATTGGATTAGAAAGCAACAARAAGACTTGAGAGAGGAAAAAATCAAACACCACCTTGGGAAACACACGGGGTGGGTCTTTGAAATGAACTTCATCGCACTTCCCTCCAGTTTGCATTGCGGAGGATGTTCCTGCGAAGGCAGTGACCCTCGTCCACACCAACCCGGGGCCCAGCTGAAGGCCCTCAGCTGGGCAGAAGAGCTTTTCCACCCTCAGGGTCACGCTGACGTCCTCGATGAAGCTTGGTGGCTGTACTTTCCCCTGTGACACCACGTACCTTCCACTCAGCTCGCGCTTCGAGACCTCTGTTGGTGACTGMGTCTTCCCAGTTCCTGGCGTAGAAAGGGAACCAGCACCTCCCAGAGCTCAGTCTCACCGACTGCCTCTGGAAGAGGGCAGGGTGCAGTGCTCCASGGTTCCCGGCATTCCCGGGGACGCTCCAGGTCCCCCAGGCTCTTCTGCAGACCTTCTGCATTCAGGGGACGTCCCCACTCCAGCCGAGGCCTCTGGAGCCTGTGTTTCACTCTCGCAGAGCAGCAGAGCGGCCGGGTTATAGGGCACAGCAGGGACAGGGTGCAGCCACCGTGGGGCTGGACGCAGGGTGCCACTGCCTCTTTCCAGGTAGGGGAAGTCATGGGTCCCCCATGGCCCCAGGGATAACGGAGCTGCCATGTACAAAGTCGTGTGTGTTTTCCCAGTTTATTAAAACAAACTTTGACAACTTAGGCCCCATCCTATCCGACATACGAAGCCTCCTTTTGTGGGCTTTCCACATCATCTAAAAATTACTTTTGACTGAATTCTTAGCTCTCACAAGCCATCTGCACCCATGGGCTGAGGGTTGCATCTGAGGGGTGATCAGCTTGGACTGGTCTTGAGGACAACCCTTCGAGGACTCAGTCCCTCGGCCACTCGGGCTCCACCAACGCTGGGGCAGCTGTGTCAGTGGATCATGTGTCTGTCATCCTAAGGGACAAACAGCAACAGCCTGCATGGCATGTCCCTGGGATGCACCTGGGTGCCCAAGGCCCCGGCCAGCTGGAGGGAACAGTGAGCGCAGGCCCTGGTCAGAATAAATGGTCCAGGTCACTCTGGAGGACAGTGCCTCTGCTTGTGCACACCAGGCTGACACCATCTGTGTGGACCCCAGAGCAGCCGCCCCTGGGAACGCCAGCCACCCGAGGAGCCAACGAGACCAAGCTAGCTCACAGTGCCGTCGCTTCTACCCACTGACCTCATGTGGTCAMGTGGCACAGCTGAGGACGCCGTGGAGAGGGTCCTGCTCTGTCCAGCTGCTGCCACTGGACAAGCACCGCTGCTACTTTCTGGAGCGGTCCTGGGGGACAGAGGCATTTCTTTGCCAAGGCTCCACGAGAGGAGGAGATGCCATGGTCAGCCTGGCACCACTGAACTCTGCTTGGAGCMGCTGCTGACCTCGTGGCCAGCTTTCCCAATAAAGTGATGTCTCGCCTGCCCTCCTGGGGTGTGCTCCTGGCCTCTCGGCAACCRACCCCGCGGCCCTGTCACAAGTGGACTGTGAACCCGGGCCACATTCCTAACTTACAAAACGAACAGCCCTGCTGCTGTCTAGCCACGGCGTCTCTCCTGAGTGACAGGAGTCACCCCCTGAGTGACAGGAGTCTCCTTTCAACTCCCACTTTCCAAGGTCCTTGTTTCATGATAAACACTTTTCAATCTTTAGCCAAAAAAAAATCCCACAAGAGGAAAAATAGTGTATTAACTAAAAATATGTTCCTGCTACTCAAGCCTCAGTGAGTCCTTGACAGAATCATCAGGTCCTGGGGGGCCTGCATTTTCCTCATTCCCTGGTCAGTCATTCACAAGTGTCCAAGGGCCTGGTGCCGTCAGGTCGTGTCCTTGAGGCGGTGATCCAGTCGCGGCTTTAGCAAGACAGGAGGCTTCCTGAGCACCGGTGCCACCCCAGCCGACCCACCTGCCAGCCTGTGCCACACTACAAGCTCCTCTCGTGTGCCCATGAGCTAGRAGTCTTTCATTTTAATAACCTGATTTCAGGATGTTGGACATTCCTGATTGAAATTCACAGATTTCCTTTCAGCACAAGGTTTCTGCAAAACCAGGAACCACTTGAGTCACCCATCAAGCCGAGCCTTGGAACGGAGGCTGGCAGGGCGTGGGCACTCCCTGACKCGTGAAGGGGTCAGCAGGTGCCA